CTCCCCGAGGGGCGCCGCGGGCGGGGTGAGGTCTCCCCGAGGGGCGTGGAGGGCCTGCCACGTGAGGACCCGCACGAACTCGCTCCCCCAGGGCTGGAGTCGCGTGGTCCAGGCCCTTTCTGCCCTCCCTTCTCTGCCTGTGGCCCGTGGGCAAGCCGGTGCCGGCTCGTCCGGCCACGCCGCCTGCTGGTACGGGCAGGGTGTCCAGCATGAGGGGCTGCACCAGGTCCCGCTCTCTGTGCCCGGGTATCCTCGGCGGCCCGGTCCTCAGCCAGCCCGGGGGCTCTGACCCTTGGGCCCTGCAGACTCGCCTGGGCCTCAGTGGGCTTAGTCTCGATACGCCTGGACTGCGTTCACCCAGCAGTGGCGTAGGAAGCTCGTGACAGGTGATGCCAGCGGCAAGGGCGTGCTTGCGGGGCCCGGGGCTTCAGACCCCCCGGGGTGCACCAGAGGCGCTCCAGCTGCGACTCCCGACAGCCCGCGCCCTCCCTGTCCCTGGCCCCGGCCAGCAGAGGCGTTGTTTCCGCCAGGCGGGGCTGGCGAATGTTGGGTGATTTGCAGAGAGCTTCGCTGTCCGCCTGGCCTTCCCATGGTTTGCTGTAGCAACGGGGGCCGCCTGGTCCCCCGATGAGTCGGAGGCAGATGCTTTCCTGAGCCGAGGAGCCGCTGGGGGAAGCACAGCACCCGAGCAGCAGCTGGTTCCCGTCGCTCCAAACCGGCCCTGCCGTCGGCCCTGGGCGCTGTGAGTCCCCGCCCGTGTGCCGCCTCGCAGGCCCTGGTCCTGCAGGGGCGCTGGACCTCTCGCTGCGAGTCTTCCCGAGGCCCCCCAGGCAGCTTCCATCTCCGTGCTTAACGGTATCGCCATCTGGGACAGGAAGGTCATCCCAACCTGCTCCGCCCCAGGGAGCTTGACCGAGAGCCCACAGCGGGCCGCGGCGCCCGCCCTGGCGTCGAATAAGCCGTCCCGGGGAGACGTGCTCGTGTGCCCCGGGCTTTCCCCGCAGTGGCGCGCTCCCCTCGGCGGGCGCTTCTCGGCCCGTCCGTGGGTTCCCGGGACCTGGGTGGGCTCAGGCGCCAGAGCCTGTTTGCGACGTAAGCGTGACGCCGCAGTCC